TAAGATGTATTTGTAACTGTTCACTCCCCAGATTAACTTCTTTAAGTATTTTGCACATAAACAGCTTGGTTTGGTCAACAGGGGTATTAGAAAATCTTATCTATCTATAAGGTACCTCTATCCCCTATTTAATTTAAAAGTTTACATGAATGCTAAGAGAAAAATAGGATTTGCACAATGAAATAGGCTATATGTACTTTATTTGAAAAATGTAATTAATTTGTTTAACTTAAATAGAATGCTTCAGAAACACAGTGAATATATTACTGAATTTGTGTATACATGAATTAACAAACTGAACTTGGCATGAGAATAATATTTTAATGATGCAGCTGTTATGTTTGTTCGTTCCAGTATTTCCGGAAATAATCTCCTACGTAAGTTACAATATCCCAACTACTGTGCTTCTATTCTGTTCTAAGTGATGACTTAATAATGGTTCATAGTTGCATGACATTTCATTAACAACACTAGTTAAAATATTATGTATCTGCCAATAACACAAATTAAAATGAATAGGCTTACTTTCATAGATAAAAACTGTTTACTGACTTATGCATACTTCATAATACAACATTAATATTGGCCTAATTTGATTCATAGTATTTCCTTAAAGGCTTACGTCAAAAATGTTTTGTATTCAGTTACAAAATAGTAGGCATTATATTGTATATTATATATTATAAATTTAAAATATTATCACAATATGAAAATCAGAATGTCAGTTATATAATTCAGCACATAAAGCAATTAGTTTGAAGCCAGAGGTTGCATAATAGGAATAGAAAGACACATCTACTTGCTCACAGCAGCCCTGCCAATTTTTTTTTTAAATTTTCCCATTCTGCTGTAGTTTTCCCCATGCGGTATAATTCCATATAAGAATACAAGAGTCATTAATGACAGGTGTAGAAATTCTCACTTGTTGAGTATAAAATCCTCTGGTTCCCATCCATTGGCTTGAAAATTACAAGATACAAGCCTTATATTATGAATATTCAATCTGCATTTAGATTAATGTGTAGAAAGGTTCAAGGTTATTAATGTCATCCTCATCACTAAACTCATCAGTGTCCTGTTTGCTCATACACGTTTTTCTCAAAATATATGTTTTTGTGCACATTGACTTTTACTTCTGCAGAATAAAATAGGAAAAATCACACCTGATATATAGATGCATTCATCCTGCAGTAGTTTGATTCAGGTTGATGATAGTAGTAAGTACATATGTAAGCCCCATGCGAATGGGATAATGTGCTATTAAAACAAAGGATTGTGTCTCCACATATTCACATTGAATATTCTTATGTAGGTAGTTGTCTGAATTTGATTTGGTTCAAGAAGCACTATTTTATGCTTGTTCTTTGTTTATGCCGTGTTTATGTAAGCTGTAAATGAACTTCCCCTTGACTGAATCAATAACAATATGACAAGGGGAACTGAATGATTTTCACTAATGGTGTTCATTCCCATTGCTTGCAATAAGAAAATGTTGACAGAAATGCTATTTTCATTGTAGGCAATCATTTTAACAATAGGAAGTCCATCTGAGTTAGAAACCAAATGATATTCTATTTTCCATCTGTAATTTATTTAGGGACCACAACAATCTTGCTAGTAATATATCTACAGTAAATCATGTCTTAAAATAAATTCTTCTTCTTTTCTCTTTATAATCTGTCACTATTTCGTACCATGAAGAGAATGTGAACATAATTGAAATTACGTATCTTAGCCACACAGATGCATCTTTATATGCCATGCCATATATGCAGAGTCTACAATGAGTTTCTTTTAACATCAAGATATTATTCTTCCCCAAAACTAGAACAATACCAGCCTTGAACTATCTACTATGTGGAATGCCTACTATTGTCTGATATTCTGAAAGCAAGTAACTGCCATATCAAAAATCAGAATGGATTTTTAGAGACGGATTGTATGATTGATATCAATATTCCTTTGATCTACTATACCAACATAGGTCCAGTTATCCACAGCTTAGCAAACAACACCCAAAAATTCAATAGCCACTAAGTTACCATATTTTGGCAGCAGCAATCTGGACAGTCACTAGATGGCAGCAAAGAGATACATGAAATGATAGTGCTAGTTTGGATTTTTCCAGATATGGTAGTCCTATGCTGAACTAATTATGTCAGATGTATTCTATAAAGTCTTCAGTCACACAACTGAGCAGCATTTCCCTGCCAACTGTTGTATATCAGATTCACTGCAGAAAACCATGATAATTATGAAGTAGTAGTATCAAATTCCTAACAGTAACATATCTCTACATTAGTTAAGCTATTAATATGACAATCATGGTTGAAATTGTATATTTATTTGAAAAAAGTCTTCTATGTCCCTTCCAACCATGTCTACTCAATAAATTATATTCCATTTTTAGACACTAAATGCATTGCTTGCAACTCTTGGAATAAAAGAAAAACTTTGTAAAATAATTTTGAAGCTATTATAAATACTAATTAAATTTACCAATTATAGGATCATTATAAAGAACTGCTATAGAATGATATCAGGCACTGTCTACTCTTAATGTTAAGATTAAAGTCCTTTTCAGAGTGATCGTTTAATTTACCTCAGTGGCTTCAATTTTATATATAGGGAATCAAGGCATAAATCTGCTTCTTTCAATATGACTGGCCTGTAATTAAATAATAATAGTTAAATGTAAGTAAAAAATAAAAATAAATATTCAGCAGTGCTTTACAATTGCAGTGGAACAAGTTTGACCCAAAGTGATTGAAATGGTGGCTGTAGAAATGGTTTAAACAAAAACATAAAAACCAAACTCATACCACAGCTTAGGTGAATAGTCTATATGGCTCAACCATAGTTAAATCATCGTCATAAAACAATTAATCAATAGAAATTGTGGGTGCTCCAACACTGGATTTTTTAAGAATTGATTGGACATTTATTTGAAATGGTGTAAGGTTTCCTGCTTGATCAGAGGATTGGACTACAAAACCTCCAAGGTCCCTTCCAATTGTTACTTTGGTAGGCTGTAACACTGAGCCACAAGCTCTAAGTGTCTGTGACAAGAGTGAAAAAATGACCAGTTGTTATGAATTCCAGATGTAGGGAATGAGAAAACAATACTTCCATTTGAATCCCTGGTTTGAGGTAAGCTTCTTTGATCCATCCTGACTTTAAATTGTTATTACTACAAGACTAGTAAACTCTCTCTTTGCTACTTGCAGGGGTGTCAAACTGCCGGCCTGTGGGCCGAACGCGTCATGCCAAAACCGCACCCACCCCATTGCCAGCAATGGGAAAAAAGTCATGATATGTCACCACACGTCACGTGACGTCGTGAGTTTGACACCCGTGTACTACCGTAGTGTGTCTGGTCTATTGATTCCAATTAGGGAAGGGATGAGGAACCAATGGTTCTCCTCTTGCTGGATTTTTTTATTTTCACAAGCCTGAGTGAACGCAGCCCAAACTCAGAAATATTGAGGTGGTGGTTCTTAAACTGTTCGAACCAATTATAGGTAGTCTTCAACTTACAACCACAACTGAGCCCAAAATTTCTGTTGCTATGCGAGACAGTAAAGTGTGTTTTGCCTCATTTTACGACCTTTCTTGCCACAGTTGTTAAATGAATGTTTATCTCTTATTTCTTTATTCATTATTTATTCATTATCAAGCACCTCAGCAGCAGCAACAACAGTCCCAAAGAGGATCCTCAATTCAGAAACAAGCAATTTCAAACTGCTTCATCACCTTTAGGGTAATTACATTCAGTTTAAAGAATTATTGTGATTGGAGTTACCCTTCAGAAACTGTTGCTCTGCAGTATAAAAGAAACTAACCTGCATTCACAGACTATGTTAGCCCAAAGCCCTTGGCTGAGCCCAAAGCCCTTTTCTCAGTTCACGGGGCAAACCTAACCACACAAATAATAGCATAAGCTGTGTTTACACAAATAATTGGTTTCGCTATATTGTGATTCAGTCTGCTTCAAGAGGGCCTGATACCAACTCCTGGAATATTCGGCAGTTTTAAAATGTGTTTTCTTCTTTACCCAAGATCTGATTTAAGCCTAGACCTTGATTATTAACATGTCTTTAAAACTGAAAGAATTGGTACTTTCTCTGGCCTGACCAATCCCTCCCTCACCCATTAAATCTTGGGAGATTTCAAAACTCCCCCCCTCCCTCACCTTCTTGTAGCTTTTTGCCCCTGGCTTTCTGTCAGACTCCAAAAAAAAAACGTGGGAATTAGTCTAGGAGATCTCCCCTCTCTCCTGGTACCAGGTAAGTCAAATGTAAGCCCCTTAGTTCTACAGGCAGGCACCAATGCAATTTTTTTCTTTCCCGCCTTTATTATTTTTATACCTAAGTCAAGGCAGCAAACACACCTAATACTCCTTCCTCCTCCTATTTTCCCCCATTAGCAAATACCCTGTGAGGTGAGGTGTCAGATATTAATCTGGCAAATAATTTTGATTTTACAGACCCTTGAGAGGGTCTCTGGATATCCCCAGACTACACCAAAATGCTGCTGTACAGTAGCTGAAAGCCTGGTTCACACATCCTGCTAAGCCGTGATCTATAAAGTAATCTCTAACAGCTGAGTTCACAAGTGATTATGAAGACATAAACCATTGTTTATGAACAAAGGCCAGTTTTGTACAATATGCTAAATCAAACTATATTCCTCTTTAGATACACTGATGACCCGGGCCAATAGTTTGGAATTTTTAGTTCTCAAAATAACTAGGTGTCCCAAACTCATGCAGATAATACTGCTAATCCTTTGAAATAATTAGTCTGAAACCACTATGCCAGGCATGTCAAATTCGCAATATCATGTGATATCGCGCAATGTATCAGTACTTTTCCCCCATTGCCGGCAATGGGATGGGCGCAGTTTTGGCGTGATGCATCCGGTCCATGGGCCGGCAGTTTGACATGCCTGCACTATGCCATTATGCTGTTCCCAATCTAAAGATAATTATGTCCAAAATCTGTTTTTTCAACATACATTTTATTCAGGAATATCTTATAAAAAATAAGAAATTACATTGATTGTGTTTTATATCAAAAAGTATGTCTAACAAGAGAACTATAAAGTTATATCTTTACCCATTTTGTGAACAATGTTTATGAAACAGAAATGCATAATTTAGTTAACGATTTTCCTGTTATTTTTTGCAAGATTAGCTATAATAAAAGTATGCAATGTTAAATGTATAAATCCAGCTGATGTGAACTTGGAGTATTCATATGCAGAAAGAAGTACAGGTTATTTTCAATATAATCTTCACATAAATTTCAAACAAAATTCCAATACAGTAATTATAGCCAAATACCGTATATTCTGGCATATAAGACAACTTTTGCAAAGGTTAAAATCGGCGCCGAAGTTGGGGGTCGTCTTATACGCCGAGTCATCTTATACGCTGGAAATACTGGTAGTTTCTGGCATATAAGATGACATTCTAGGCATGCTACTCGGCGCCGAAGACGGGGGTCGTCTTATACGCCGGGTCGCCTTATACGCCGGCATATACGGTACTAATTTTAAAAATAGCAAATGTCCATAGTATAATGTATATAAAAGGGTGAAATATGATTCTAAACAGTATTTTCTATTTCCTTCTAGTTACTCTGTGGTATATTTGTTAAGAAATGAGTAAATGGACGACCATGGACACAGCTGTTATGTTGAGTTCCAAATTGCTTTCCCATTCTGTTTATGGTATTCTGTACATCTTCTTCTGATAAATACAAAGGTAATTGTCGGGATAATCGGACTGCTTCTCCCTGTGGAATGAAGAATATGTGTACTAAGTGATGGTCATAATATATTTCCAATATATTCTAATAGTATAGAGAAACATGGCAAGTGGGTAATCTTCTATTACATTATTTTCTTTCTTTGCCTAATCACACACACACACACACACACACACACACACACACACACACGACCAGTTTTTACAAACAAATACAATGAAAATGACTCTGGCCTAAATCCAGCACAAATCCAAGAAATGTGAGAACAAGCTTTGTGTTTCTTACACTGCCAAAAAAGTTTTAAAATGTAGATATAGCTATATTATTTAAAAAACATGCATCTGATATAACAGCTAATTAGTACTAGAGAATAAAAGAAATATTCCAATTATTCAATTTAATTACTGCTTTTAGAATAATTTTCTTACCCTTCAGGGAACAGTATCTTATATTTAAGCCTTAAGCAGTGGAACAATCTTTTGAGAATACAACATTCTTACCTCCAAATAGTTTACCACTTTAAGAGGTCTGCATTCATAGACTTCTTGCGCATTATTATTTATCACAGCACTTAGAATTTCCTTCAAATCTGATATACCATAATATGGCAGACAGCTGGTCATTCCTTCTATTTCCAGCTGACTTTCCACAGCTGAAGTACCTTATAGTAAAACAAATACATGATACATGGAATAACTGGATATAGTTTACATATTATTCTGATTTGTATGTTGAAATAGGTATATTACCAAGCAATGCCCTAAACGACAGTCCTAAACATGTGATTGTACTACAAACACACTTAGATTTGCATAATCCTGTACCTTAGAACAGGACAAAGCACTTTTTCTTTAACTAGTTTCAAAGTAGTTCTATCTTTTGCAAAACTTACTGTCTTGTCTGTCTTCACATGCATGTATTGCTATGATTTTAAATTTCTTGTTATTTTAAAATTTAGTAAAAACTGAAAAGGCTTAATATTTGTTAATAAAAAGATTTAAAATTCAAAGATTAAATTACTTCTTAAATGATTCTCAAGCAGTGTTATTGTGATACCAAAGAAAGAAGATACACAAGTGCAACAAATTTTAGTAATTTATCACCTTCTTTTAAAATACCCAAAATTATCTTTATTTCAGTTTCCTTTGTATGTCCAATGTAACATCCTTTTCCATGTAATTCTTATAGACTCATTTTTAAATCTACTTTCATATCAAATCTCAATCTTCTCAGGTAAAGCTTGTTTCTCTTTCATACCATCTTTTAAATAGTATCTACCTAGACAGGCAGACAATCTTAAAATTAACTTCTGGGTCCACTGTTCAAAAATATCCTTCAACATGTCCAATGTTATATTTTGCTTCATTCTGTATCTGTTGAGTGTTCTTTTCTTTTAACTGTAATCTTTAGTTCCTCCTAGTTTCCTCCGGCATCCATTTTTAAAGTCTTATTCTTTTAAAAAAATTCAAAATAAGTAATCCCTCCCCTCAGAACAATTCTTTATTGCAATAGTTAATTCCAAAATTTCATTTTAAAATCTGGATCCTTAATCCGTATATAATTAGCTAAAACCAAAGTTTTAATCAACTTTTTACAGTTTATTATTTTTTTAAGTCCTTCAATTTGTATCTAAAACTTCTTTTGGTAATGATTGAAGGAAAGTTGCTTGGTGCCATAAAATCTGTCAATCCAAAGTCATAATAACTAAAAAGCAGTTAACAAATAATTTCTGAAAGTGATTAGAAAAGGAAGTATGCAAACCTTTCAAAGCTACCAACTTTTGTTTGAACGAGATGCCTATTCCCTCATCTCCCAGAGCAATAAATCTGCTGGAGACTGTTGTTTTGTGGTTTCTTTGTGAGAAGCAACTGTATGGAACATTTGTGAATGATCTGAAGAGCTCTCCGTGTTTGGAGAGTATTTACAAAGAACTGGTCTACTTGCTCGCTATTCATTCGGATACAGTTGTCAGCTCTACTTTCCATGGAACTGTCTTCAGTCTGACATTCCTTCCCTGGAAGTCCTGACATAGTACTTCTAAGGATGGAGACGTGATACAGAATAATGAACTTAATCTCTAGAGCAGTGGTTCTCAACCTGTGGGTCGAGACCCCATTTGGGGTCGAACGACCATTTCACGGGGGTCGCCAAACAACGCAGTCCACCATTTTTCCCCTTTTCCTTAGCTGTGCTACTCCCTTTTATTCTATTGGCTTTTGAAAGCCAATAGAATAGACTCTCTTGAATAGAGTCTAATTCTATTGGCTTTCAAAAGCCAATAGGAATTGTCCAGCCTGTCTCTGCCCTGCTGAGCCCGCCAAAAGTCCATTCTGCAAATGGTGCTGCACCAGTTGAGTAGTCCTCGACTTACGACCGATTGAGTAGTCCTCGACTTATGACTGGTTGGGGGGGTCGTGGCATTAAAAAGGTTGAGAACCACTGCTCTAGAGTTATACTTTAAATTAGAGGTCACCAACCTTTCTTGGTTGGCGGATGCAAATGGAGTGGGGCTAGCATTTGCGTGATACTCACTAGCCCTGCCGTTCTTGTGCACAGTGCTGTTTCTGCACTGAGGCATGCCATCGGCCCATTTTCGCACACTGAGGTGCAGCATCGTTTTTGTGCCGAGGCGCAACATTGGTCTGTTTTTGGGCAGTGCAGCGTCCCATTTTTGTACTCTGAGGCGTGTCATCTCATTTTCATGCCCCAAGACCACAGCACTAGCATGAGTGTGTGTGTGCGTGCACTGGCCAGCCTGTCCCATGGCCTAGTGGCCAGCAACCCATGGCCTACTACTGGGCCATGGCCCACAGGTTGGGGACCCCTGCTTTAGGTTATTAAAACCAAGTGGATTACATATTTTTTTCAGTCATAAATGTGTAAGAACTACAAGTATTATCAGTTTCCTGCTTTACTATATAAAAAATTTATACTAAGAACTAAGGTAAGAAACCAAGATATAGATACCTGGTATTATCCTTATCTTAAATCCATTTGCTACAAGTCTGGGATCCAACAAATAGGATGATCCATCAAATCTTGCACTTTCCCTAGGCATACTGCAAAGCACTTCCATATAATGAGTGTCACTAAAAAGACTACAATAAAAAAAATCACATAAGTTAGCATTCTTAAAAGAGATACATAGAATATTAAAAAGTATTCCAAAGGGGTAGGATGTGTCAAGGACTGTAGTGTTGTTGTTTTTTTTTTAATTTTTTTACAAGTATTTGCAGTTAGCTTATACTCTTTGAATGAAATGGTACAAAAACATCTATTATAGATACTCTTCAATTTACAGGCATTTGTTTAACAAAATTATGACAGTGCTAAAACAACTGATTTATGACTAATTGTCGCACTTAACAATCCTCAGTATCCCCATGGTCACATATTAAAATTCAGGTGTTTGGCAACATGTATTTATGACAGTTGAAGTGTCCCTGGGTCATATGATCACCACTTGCAATCTACCAAAGGGTTCAAACAAGCAAAGTCAATGGAGGAAGCTTGATTTTTTTTTAATGAATGTGTGATTCATTTAATGACTGTGACAAAAGGGTTGTAAAATCAGGTGTGATTCAACAACCATACAGCTAAGCAATCGAAGTTCCTATCCCAATCCTGATTATAAACTGAGGATAACCTTATAATAAAAAGCCACAGCCTTTACATACCTGGGGTAATATACTATTTAGTATATTTATGTCTATTCAGTAGACATCATTTAGTAAAGTACAGAAGCAGTAAACAAAATTTTTACAACTATTACAATAATAATATCTAATACCAGAGAAACCAAAACAAGGAAAGAAACTGGGTGCTTGCAACAACAGTTTGGTTAAAAGTCCAAAAAAGAAGGCAGCAAGCTGCAGGGGAGTCTCTGAGTAAAGAAAAAACAAATGTTGTCAGCATTAGAGGACAATGGGGCTAACCAGTTCTTCATTATTTTATCAACCTCACAAAAATTTAGCAGCTGAGACCTGGTAGGTTATATTACCCCAGGTATGTAAAGGCTGTGGCTTTTTCAATGGCTTCAAGGTCCTGGGTTAGAGAATCAGCTTAAACCTTTCTACATGACTGACAAATTGGGGACCCAAGATTTAGAGACTGAAAACGACTTGGTTATAGTTTATCTTTGGGCCTGCAGCTTCTAGAGTCTTTTCCTAGAAAGGCATTTGTGACCTTGAGAATCTGTACTTCCCAACCTGTTTGATAAAGGCCTGACAGTGGGAGGCCATGTTAATAAGAAGGCTTTCACCCAAACATAGCAAACACAGAATAATATTAGAAGGTGAAAGTTTGCTGCTACCTTAATTTAGATACAGTATATATGGAAAGTGAAATTCAAGAAATTTCAGGCAAACTCTGTTGAATCCCAACAAAGTCATACTAACTGAAGAGAACAACAACAACAAAAAAGGTAAAACTACAAATGAAAGAACAAACCTAAACAAACTCTTGAGAATGAATGTCACATTTTTACTAGAGCAGTAATGAAAGGATTGAAAGAGATGCCCTTTCAGCTTGGCACCAAGGAAAAAAGGCTTCGGTGAAAAGATTTTTCTATCACTTGAACGTGATTTAGAGCCCCCAATAAAAGAACATGTACTCCCATCTCATAACTACAACTATTTCACAGAACATGATCTGTTAGCGAACAAAGATAGGTCTTCTCCCTGACTTGGAACTACTAGTCAGCATTAGAGTTTGGATTAAGTCAGGGGAATGCATCCAAGGCTTTTTGAATCCTGTTGTTGCTGCCTAAAGTTGGCATAATAGTATGTGCTAGTGGGATCAGCCTCTAAAGACTTGAATTATTTTCCTTAGGGTGAATGAAGCCTTCTAAGAATCAATGCAACAGTCTACAGTTTAAAATGTGACTTTTGCAAAGACATACTTGATTACTGAGGAGGGAATGTCAACTAATACAACAGTAGATTGAAATAAATATAAAGAAATGGGGGACTTATTACACTTTGCAATTAACCTCTCTTGCTCCTTGATGTTTAGTGAGTTCCCTTCTCACTAAAGGGAACTCTCCACTTTTGAATATGCTTCAAATAAAGCTATTCTCCAAGAACACAACGATGAGAAAGTATTTGCTAGTGAAAATGTGTTGCATCCAAAGTTCAGTGGGATGTTGTGTTGCAGCAGCTAAATGAGACTGCCAGGAAATCCTAACAGATTCTTTTTAGGAGACAATTCCACGTTCCAAGGTTCTGAATGAACCCCCTTCAGGCAAGCTCATACTCTTAAATAAGCTTTTAATGATCTGTAGTGACTCTATATTCTTCTAAACTACAGGTAATTCTTGACTTGCAACCATTTGTTTAGTGGCCGTTCAAACCTACAACAGCACTGGAAAAAGTGACTTATGACTGTTTTTCATACTTACGGCCGTTGCAGCACCCTCAGGGTCATGTGATCAAAATTTGGATGCTTGGCAACTGGTTCATATTTATGGTGGTAGCAGTATCATGGAGTCATGTGAACCGCTTTTGTGACCTTCTGACAAGCAAAGTCAACAGGGAAGCCAGATTCACTTAACAACCATGATACTACCTTAACAACTGCAATGATTCACTTAACAACTGTGGCAAGAAAGGTTGGAAAATGGGGCAAAACTCTCTTAACAAACATCTCACCTAGCAACGTAAATTTTGGGCTCAGTTCTATAATGGGACTCTATTCCTGTCCTAACTACAGATATAAACACCATACACAGTGCTACTTAAAAGTTTGTGAACTCTTTTGAATTTTCAATATTTCTACAAAAATATGACCTAAAATGTGATATAGGTTCTAAAACTAGAATTAACCCAAAGCTACATAATTGTTTGTGGCAAAATCATTTCAACCTTTAGGATTATCAGTACATTTGAAGGGGAGATTAGAATCAGACTTTTCAATCAGTGAGATGATAATTAAGTTTATGTTTAGAAGATCCTGACTAAATCCTCTATCGAAATCTGATCTTTACATGCAGGGATGTAGATGTGTCATGGTTTCAACAAAGATTTCTGAGGACCACTGAAAAACATTTATTGATGCTCACCATCTGGAAAAGGTGTGAAAACTATTTCTAAAGAGTTTGGACTTCATCAGTCCAATATAAGGCAGATTGTGAACAAATGAAGGTAATTTAACATTATGGTTGTCCTCCGTAGGAGTGGTTGATGATACACATTTGTGGCTTTGGATCATTTTCTTCAATAAACCAATGAGCAAAGGTAATGTATTTTACTGATTTCTTTAACTGGCTTCTCTCTCTATAATTTTAGGACTTGTGTGGAAAACAAACTTTTAAGCTCCACCATATCATAAACAACAGCATTTATTATGCCCAATTACTACCTCCTTTCACAACATAACATAAGAATCTACTGTTTATCTTCCTCTTTTTCGGGGGGGGGGGGTGTCACAGTTCCAGCTGCATGGTTTTTACTCTCATTATTTTTTATTTTATGTATTATTTTTTACAAACAGCAAACAAATCTGACATACTTCCTCTTCTTATTTTCCCCTCAATGACCCTGTGAGAAGAGTTGAGCTGAGACAAAGTGACTAGCCCTGCTAGTGTTCATGGCTGACTTGGTTCTCCTTATTATGTTACCCATGGTTAAACATTATACATGTCATTAAAAGCTCTACAACTGACTGACACTGTTTCAACTGAAGGCTGCTCATCAGGTATATCTCAAGTCTCCATGAACTGTAAGTACCAAGGGACTTTTCCACTGGCACAAAAGACACCACAGATAACATTATAATTATTTTGAGTGAAAGAACAGATGCCAAGTGTTTCTAAACTTTTCATGCCATTAACCTTTTTTTTTGGGGGGGGGGAGGAATTGTTTTACACATTCTAGAGGAGCAACAGAATCATTTGAAAACTAATAACCAATAAATGCAATGGCATGAAAATAGCTCCTGTATGTAGCCCTGTTCCATTTCTACAGTTAAGAGCAATTAATTTAAAATCTTATGAAAAGCAAATCATCCAGTGAATCTATCTAGAATCCTAACCAGTATTTAAATAAGGTATGTATTTCTTGCACTGCCATGTAAATATAAGTATTTTTAAAAATACAGACTTCTAATAGTAAATGCCTTATAAGGGACTCTTATTGTACTATTTACCCGTTATATACCCCTAAAACTTTTGAATTTTATCATCCAAAATACATTTTTATTACCGAATGCTTTTATTTTAATATGTGGCTTTTTTACTTGTTTCATTTTATCATGTATTCAATCTAATTTAGAAAATAAAAATACAAATGAAAACCTATGCTCTCCTGTTTACTTAAGATGGATATACTTCTAGAATGTTATTTTGACTTTACCTCTCAGTTAATATAATAGGAGTGTCCAACTTCTCTATAAGAAGTTTATGATTTTCAATTAGTTTTTTGAAGAGAAGGGCTTCTTCCATTCTGTATGGATTTAGCATCTCTATTTTTTCTTCAGAGGCAAGTATCCACGCATCAGGAAAATTCAGAAGGCGAATTAAGCAAGATTCCTCTTTATCTGCCTTTTTATATTCAAGCCTTTGAAGTTTTTGTTTGAATGCATCCATGGAGAAAGGCAGTTGTAGAGTTTTTTTTGCTTGGTAATCATCATGCTTTTTTCTTATTTGCGAGTTAAAAAGGGTGTCCAATTTTTGCTGATTATTTAAGCAGTCTTTTAGTTTAATCTTGTGTCTTTTCTCTCTCTCCCTCATTGATGTTAGTGTATTAGGACACATAGCTTTTCTGCTTTGCCTGTTGTATCGTTCCAGATCTTTGTCAGCTTTTTCCTCATATCTTATATAAAGAAAGAGAATGGGAAAGAACAAAGAGTACATGAATTGTGTTAGCACAAGATGTTATAACAAATACATAATGTGTTGCTTTTCGTACCAAAAACAATTTTCCTGCTTCATTTTAATAGTTTTAGGTATCATTAAGTCACTGTATTTTCAATAACAATTCCTTTTTAATACAAATATGGAGACTATATTATAGCTACAGTTCAATTATTTGGATTCATTTATTTCTGTCAAAAACAAAAACATATATATTAGAACTGTGTTCAGTAATAGTGGATTGTAGCCAACATTTCCCACAAGAAGTGAAGAGAACCAAAGACAAAACAGATCCCTCCTTCTCCATATACAGGTAGTCCTCAACTTACAACAATTCATTTAGTGACCATTCAAAGTTACAACAGCACTGAAAAATGTGACTTATGACCATTTGTCAAAGTTATGACCTTTGCAGCATCCTCATGATCAAGTGATCAAAATTCAGATGCTTGGCAACTGGTTCATATTTATGACCGTTGCTGTGTCCCAAGGTCATGTGATCATCTTTTGCAACTTTCTGACAAGCAAAGTCAATGGGGAAGTCACATCCACTTAACAACCAGGTTATTGACTTATCAACTGCAGTGATTCACTTAACAATTGTGGCAAGAAAGGTCGTAAAGGGCAACTTTTGCTTAACAAATGTCTCACTTAACAACATAAGCTTTGGGCTCAATTGTGGTCATAAGCTGAGGACTACATGTATGCAGAAACGATGTAAGGCAAAAGGAAAAAATCCTTTTGCATGAAATTAGTCTATTTGCAAATTGCTGGATGCTGTCAGAAAATAACTTTTCCTCAAAACATTATCCCTTACTGGCTCCTTGGGAGAGTTAGATCCAGAAAACCATGAAGTTTGCTTCCTTCTTAAATGTTGGCTATTCATAAAACAATGGCATTAAGCTGAACTGTAATTGCAGCCACACTTATCAAAACACATCTTATCAAAGTCAACGAAACTATTTTTTATTTGTTGGATTTATATCCAGTCTATTCTAAACTGACAAGTTTTAATACAGAATTAAGTTCAACAATCTTACTTCTTTTTTTCTTCTTCATTCAATGAGTTCCACATTGCTTCCATTTTCAGCAGTAGTTTTTCTGAGTTTAATTTGGCAATTTCACTCAATGAATCAGGAGAATAGTCTTGAACAAAAAGTTCAAATGCTGACATGGATTTCCTGATAGTCTTATTGCTAATTAAGTCATAGGCTGTAATCTGACCCATTTTATCTTTTATCACATTTGTTTTTTTAACAGCTTGATTGTTACTTTCTTCTTGAAGTTTTGCTAAACCACCCTTTTTCTTTTGAGGTCTTACTTCATCCTTATCTGGAATTAAAATTTGAACTGGTTCCAGATTTTCTGCTCTGGAATTTTTAAATGCATTCCCCATACTCCATTTATCAGCAGTGATTTCAGATGAATCTGCAGAGATTTTAGCTCTTTCTCTTTCTTCTTGAAAACTGTAATTTCTTGAATCACTCTCCATGCTATTTTCACACTGAATGTCCATTGCAGTATTATTATCTAGATTAAATATTTCCTTATTCTGTTGATCTTGACAAAGTACATTATTTGGTTGGTTATCCTGAAATTGATCATATCCAACTATTTCATTATCAGGTATTTTAATTTCAGTAGAAGTATCATGAGAATAATGATTACATATTGTTTGATTGCCAACTAATCTGTTTTCCTGTACATTAGCATTTTGCATGTCATTACTAAGTGAAGATTGTGAAGTACAAGCAAGTGGATTTATTCTTGTACAAGACTGGGTTACAACTTCTTGTTCAGCTTCATTAATATCTTTTGAGGTATTGTTGGTTGCATTCATTTCATAAGACACAGAGCTATTTAATGGTCCATATAATAATATCAAATTCTCTTCAATAGCAAGACAGATAGATTCCTAAAAAATTGAAGAAATAATTCAGTAAAAATATATTACTTATTGTTACAGAACAATTTATTTATCCTCAGGCCACAAGAATTTTGCCCTTTTTAAAATCCAAGCGATAATAAAAGAACATGGACTCAGAAACAATTATTTTACTGCATCATCAGAGTAAAATCTTTATTACGGTATCTAATTACATATTAAGAAAGAGAAAAAGACTTAAAGACTCTACCTTATTATGTACTAATACTTGAGATTTATCTGGTATTAAATTGACATCCACAGCAGATGGAGGAACAGTAATGTTGAGAAAGAAAATCGGGAACAATCGATAAAAATCCTTGTGTAATATGCTATAGTACTGTTGAACAAGCTAAAATATTTATAAAAAAGAATAAAATTAACTCAATAACTTTAAATTAAATACCAAATTATTGCTAGAATCTAATGGATTACTTTTCATAAAAAAACTGTGTGGGGAATATTTCTTTTCCCCATGGTGACCTTTCCTGTGTAAAGCTGCTCCGGAGGAGCAGTGCTATAGCAGAACTTTGCTTCTATGACACTGGATTCCATACTATTATTGTTTATTTATACCTCTGAGTATATATAGCAAGAATTATAGTCACATATCTGGTGTACACCGCTTAGAGAGTGCTTGCACTTAAAGCGGTATATAAGTCTCATAAATAAATAAATAAATAAATAAATAAATAAATAAATATCTCGCTTGAGGAAAGAAATAGCAGCTTTTATTAGGCTGCAATAGTACTTCGTTGCTGGTAAGGTGACATGCTACAAGAATGTAATACTATTTCACTTGATATGTTCTAAATGCATGCCGATGCAGTAGTTCCCTGTATTAAAATAGGCAAACTACTGCACAATAGTAATTACTGAGGAACAGGCTACATTTTTTAAAACAAAATTCACCGTTAATATGGGAACTTTATCCCATGCTACAGTGGAATAAAATTCTAAAACTAAAAGGAATTTCAAAACAACTTGTGATACAGGCTTACATTCTAATGTACAAAGTTAAAACTTGAATTCAAATCTGCTATAGCTACGTTTTGATTTAAACAATGCTTTGTAAATCACAGAAATAGGATTGAAAAAGTAGTACCTTAAGAATTTCTTTTTGATACACTGGTCGGCTGTTTATAAAAATGAAACTTCTTTCTGAGTTCGACTGACTTGTCAAACCTCTGTCTGAATCAGGCTTTGGAACAAAGCCACTGAAAGATATCTATAATGATAATAAACGTAAAATATCATTAAATAACATTGAATCACATAATAACTCTTCTATGAATAAAAAGAAAGATTAAGGAAAAAAACAGATTCTGGTTAAAGTTAGAAAAATGTAGGACAGACAGCACCACCACCAGATTGATTTGTAACTGACTGACCAACTGTACTCAATGTGTAGTCCTTAATAGAACTACATTTGCATGGAGGGAAGAATGAAGTGGGGTACTCCAAGGTTCTGTCTTAGGCTCAATACTCTTCAACATCTTCATAAACGATTTAGATGAGGGGACTAAAGGGGAAATTGTTAAATTTGCAATAACACCAAGATGGTAGGAACAGCAACACAGAAGGATCTCGACAGACTTGAACCCTGGATCCTATCTAACAAAATGAAGTTCAATAGTGAGAAAAGTAAGGTTTACACTTAGGCAAGAAAAAACAAATGGACAGGAATAGAATTGATGGAACCTGACTCACTAGCAGTAACTGCGAGAGGGATCTTAGAATTCTAGTGGACAATCACTTAAATATGAGTTAGCAGTGTGCTACAGCCACCATAAAAGGCCAATGCAGTTTTAGGGTGCATTAATAGAGGGAAAGAATCAATTAATTAATACCACTTCATAATGCCTTGGTAAGACCACATATGGAATACTGCATCTAGCTTTGGTCGCGATAATATAAAAAAGATGTTGAGACTCTTTGAAAGAGTGCAGAGAAGAACCAAAAAGATGATAAGAGGGCTGGAGGCTAAAACATATAAAGAAAAGTTGCAGGGATTGGGCACATCTAGTCTAGTAAAAGAAGGACTGGGGTAACATGATAGCTGTGTTGCAATATTTGAGGGGCTGCCACAAAGAAGAGGTTAACCGATTCCCCAAAGCACCTGAGGCAGGGCAAGAAGCAATGGGTGGAAATGATCAAGGAGAGAACCAATCTAGAACTAAGGACAATGTCCTGGCAGTAAGAGCAATTAATCAGTGGAACAACTTTTCTCCAGAAGTTATGGGTGATCCATCACTGGAGATTTTAAAGAAGAGATTGGACAGCCATTTGTCTGAAATGGTATACGGTCTCCTGCTTGAGCAGGGGGATGGACTGGAGGATCTCTAGTGTCACTTCCAACTCTGTTATTCTGTTCTGTTATTCTTTCTATGATCTCATGTATCCATCCCATCAAGCCCAAAGAAAGTCCAGAATGGTATATAGGACGGGCATAGGGCAGTGGTGGCGAACCTATGGCACGGGTGCCAGAGGCGGCACTCAGAGCCCTCTCTGTGGGCACATGTGCCATTGCCCCAGCCTTGCCTCTCCCACAACCCCCTCCTCAGCAGCCACCCTGGAGGAGAGTCGCCCCCGACTGTGGCCCACGCGGAGCAGCCACAGACTCTGCCCTCACGCCCCATCATGCAGTTGATGCTGCGGGGCGTGGGAAGAGGGTGTGGCCATGGCACTGCTGGCTGATCTGTGGTGGGCCCTGGAGGCGGTGAATGGCCCTGAGGGGAAGTGGGGTATGGGCAGGGCAGGGTGTGGAGTGGGGCGGGACTAGTTTTTGGGCACTCAGTCTCTAAAAGGTTCGCCATCACTGGCATAGGCCACAGGCAAGGGGTTGAATATAAGACTTCCAAGGTATTATTCTATGTTCTTTAATGCAAGTAAAATAATTAAAGAAATAAAAGGCCGAGACTGTAACTTTAACTATCTCTTTTACATCTAGTGGGTGGGGGAGGATCACAGATTGGGAAGCATTCCTTCAGATGACTGGGATTCAAGCAATTTAAGAACTTAAAAACAATATAGCACAGCACAGATAGAAAAAAAATAAAGACAGTTTGATCTTTGGGATTATTCTATTAGATTCTCTGGGTTTTTTTTTTGATTAGTATGTTTCATTTTTTTCAGAAAATTTATTGAAATATGGATGTTTTAATGTTTATATTGTCAATCCATTAGTGAAAAACAACTCAAATACAACAAATTAGATGTAAATAATATTAAGTTGAAATAATACTGGGAAGAAGTAATTTATGTGACGGCTTAGAAACTTAACTTCAGATCTTCATTGTGCTGTTGAAAAGGTACCATGTTCTTCATAACAGCAGGTCCCACTACTTCCATGAAAGCCATTTTATGGTCTAGTACCCTGGTCTTCTGCCATATGATTGTCTGAAAGCCAAATTTATAACATTAAAATGAAATAAATAAATATTTATATAAATATATATAAATAAAATAAGAACAAGATTTAGTCACAAATATGTGTATGAAACGGTACACTTGTCCTGGGTTTTTAACATTCTGTTCCTAAACACATGTACCTTCTTATGAGTACAGCATATACAATTGGTCCTTCAGTATATATTTTGTAGCAACTGGGCTGTCTGTCTAGAGTTCCTTACCTATTTCTTGTCTAGTGGCAGATTTTTAACAACTGGGAAGTTTACAAATACGCAACTATATAACGCTTAAAAACATCCACAAAGATGTTGGCTTTTTGATTCACAAATACCATCAGTGTGACTTCAGAAAGAAGTTAGTCAATACATTCATTACTTCAATACATTCATTACAAAACAGTAATTAATACAATTGGAAACAATTGTACAATTCTACCTCATTAAGGAATTCATGTTTAGTTCATATTAAACCAAGTTTACAATGCATAAAATACAGACAAGCTTTACTTTATTGGTTTAAAGCATGGCATTCAAGTTACAATATGTAAAAAACCCAAAATGTTACTGTTCAGATTTATTGTAAATATATGTTTGATCATTTTAATAAAAGTATTTTCAAAAAGGTAAAACAATAAAATAGTCAAAAGTTAACAGAATTGCATACACGCTGTTTTCAATTTTACTTCACTTCATGTATTTCTTATAACCATTATATGGAAATAAAGAAAAAAGTGGTACTTGGCAGTCTTTGTACAAATCTGAATGAAATTTATATAGAACAGATATTCAAGTTAAATTATTGTTGTGTATTTTATTTGCAACTGACAAATTCACTTCTATCAATTCATCAGTAGTAAATAATCATATACAGAAGAAATGTTTCCATTTCTTTCATGCTCAGAAGGGGCGTTGTCTTACCTGAACGCCTTTTCTCAGCATGATGATGGAGAATCCACAAATGGGTTGTCTTAATCTTCCTGCTCAAATAAGACTAAGTCTGAAAGGTTGCCACGCCTCTGCTTGTGCAAGAACACCCCAGTTTATGAAGAAGGTGAGGCACAGACATTAGTCCGACGCAAACGGTCCTCCTACACTGGACACAGGATCAAACGGACAGTAAAAGGGAGGGAGTGGATTCTCCATCATCATGCTGAGAAAAGGCGTTCAGGTAAGACAACGCCCCTTCTCCAGCATGATTCGATGGAGAATCCACAAATGGGACATACCAAAGCCCTGTTGTCTCTAGGGGGAGGAAATAATTTGGGCCTGGGTCCCGTTGGTTGATGTTACATGTTGCAATACTCTGCGACCAAATGCAGCATCCGAGGAGGCATATTTGTCAATTTTGTAGTGCTTGACAAAGGATGAAGGTGAGGACCATGTTGCCGCCCAACAGATCTCCCGACAGTTGCCTGGGTTGCCCAGGCCGCCGATGTAGCGGCGCCACGGATGGAATGGGCCGTGATGTGTCCAGGAACAGTCAATGATTGTGACCGGTATGCTAGGGCAATGCAAACCCTAATCCATCTCCCTATCGTTGAGGAAGAGACCTTCTGACCCATGGAGGAAGGTTGAAATGACACAAACAATGCTTCGGATTTACAGAAGGTCGAAGTCTGTTTGATGTAATGTCGCAGGGCCCTGCGAGGTCATGGGAAAGGTTAGGACAGAAATTTGGTAACACCACCTCTTGGGATCTAAGGTACAACGAATTGACCTTGGGAATAAAGGAAGGGTCTAGTCTGAGGGTCACCCTGTCTGCATGGAAGATGCACAGGTCCTCTCTGACGGAGAGAGCGGCCAGTTCTGAAATTCACCTGGCCGACGTGACAACCACTAGAAAAGCCACCTCCATGGACAACAGCTTAAGACAGCATGTATTAATAGGCTCAAAGGGTGGCGAGATGAGGGCCTGCAACACCTGTGTAGGTCCCAAGAAGGATATCGGTGAACTGCTGGTGGCCTGGCATTAGTCGCTCCCTTTAAAAAGGAACGCACTGTAGGGTGGTGTGCCAAAGGAACGGAATTGTCACACAGGAGCACTGTTGATAAAGCTTCTACCTGTCTGCGGTTGGTGCTCGGGGATAGTCCCTTGACCAACCCATCCATCAGAAATTCCAAAACAATCAGAACAGAGGTGTCCAAGAGTTCCACTTTATGGCCAAAGCACAAGGTACAGAAGCTCCTCCATGTGGCAACATAGATTCTATTCATTGAGGGGCGCCTGGATTGCTGAATCACGGCAATCACCCTCGACGAATATGAGTCTCGGGTCAAGGCCCGCCTCTCAAGTGCCAAACGGTTAGTTGGAGCCACTGTGGATCTGGATGCTGAAGTACTCCTTGAGTAAGGGTAATACAACCTGTGGGGATCCTCCATGGGGGGGGGGGATGGAGAGCTCTACCAGGTCGGCGAACCACAGATGTCTCAGCCAATGTGGAGCAATCAGAATGACCTCCACCCATTTGAGCAGGATCTTGCGGATCGTCGTGGGAAGGAATGGCAAGGGAGGAAAAGCATATAGCAGCTCCCTGGGCCAGGGAGTGTGGAGGGCATCCGTTCCTTCTGCTGTCGGAGACGGGAACCTGGAAAAGAATCTCAGGAGTTGTGAATTGGCTGGGGAGGCAAAGAGGTCTAAGTTTGGGGGACCAAACCTGTCCACGATCTCCCTGAACAACCCCGGGTCCAGGCGCCATTCGGCGTGGTCCACAGTTGATCTGCTCAATGAGTCTGCCTGCTGGTTGGTCACTCCGGAGATGTGTTCTGCCCTGATGGAGGCAAGATTGTTCTCTGCCCAAGACCCCAACAATTGAGCCTCCTCCATGAAAGGACTGGACCTGGTCCCCCCTTGTCTGTTCACGTGGGCCTTTGCAGCAATGTTGTTGGTAAGCACCAGGACATGTTGTCCCGCTACCCTGCTGCTGAAGTGTCGTAAGGCCAGATGTATGGCCCTGAGTTCTAGCCAGTTTATGATGTTTTTCAACTCCTCTTGGGACCACCGACCCTGAGCCCATTGGGATTGGAGATGCGCTCCCCAGCCGAAGAGGCTGGCGTTCATGGTCAGAGTAAGTCTGGCAGGCTCCTTGAATTCTGTTTCCCGTGACATTGCTGGGGAGGCCCACCAGTGAACAGAGTTCAACGCCTGACACGGAACTTGAACCTTCTGGTTGGAAGTGCTGATGCGTAACCTCTGGAATGGAAGTAGAAACCACTGCAGCTCCCTGGCGTGAAGACGTGCTCATGGGATGATTTGTATACAGGACACCATTTTCCCCAGGAGTTGTGACAACAAAGCTAGGGTGACCACCCTCTCCCTCTGGATCTGATGATCTAGGACCCATATGCTGTCCCGTCGGTCCTGTGACAGATAGACCGTGCAATTGTTCATGTCTATGATTGCCCCTAGATGCAGGAGACGGGTTGAGGGCACTGTATAGCTTTTCTGAAAATTGACAGAAAACCTGTGCTCCTGAAAGGTCCTGACGGCAAGGGCAAGATCCAATTGAGCTAGCTGGATGGAGGGGGACTGTATCAGAAGGTAGTCCAGATAGCACTGAACCCTTATTGGGATCTGTCTGAGGTGGGCAGCCAACATTGTCAAAATCTTCGTAAACACCCTGGGCGCTGAGGAGAGACCGAATGGAAGGGCCCTGTATTGATAGTGCTGTTGGGCATAACAAAATCTGAGAAATTTGCGATGCTCAGGGAGAATAGGGATGTATAAGTATGCCTCTGTTAGGTCTATTGAAGTCAGGAAATCCCCTTTTCTGATGCTGGCTAGGATCGATTGCAGCGACTGCATCTTGAACTTCCTGTACATCAGATAGTAATTTAGACCTTTTAAATCTAAAATTGCCCTCCAGCCCCCCAAGGACTTCGGAACGACAAAAAGAGTGGAGTAAAACCCCCGTCTCTTCTGGTCTTCCGGTACTGGCTCTATGGCCCTTATCTCTGACAAGTGGGAGATGGCCTCTGACATGAGGTTCACTCTGTTCTTGTTCGTGGGGGTGGGGCAAGATAGCATTAGGCTTAGTAGCCAGGTGCCACTTCGCCTTCAGGTCCGCCCGCCAGTTCTTGAGCCACAAAAGTCTGCAGGCTGAAATATCTACTGCGAAGAGTATCTTGCAGCATGGAGGGAGGCGTCAGCCATATACTGGGATGTGGCCAACTTACCCAGGTTCTGATGAACACGAACCTGGTCGGGAGGGATCATGTCCTGGAGTTTGTGGAGCCACAAGATGGAGGCCCCAGTGAAGAAGGCCATGGATGTGGAGGCCTTGATTGCCCAAGCCGAAGCCTGATGTGATCTGCGCAAGGCAGCTTCAAACTTTTTGTCCTCTGCCTTGAGCGCTTCAGCCATGTCCCCTGGAATATTAGAGTTGGAAAAAAGAGAGTTTAGTGGTTCATCAATTAGAGGGACCTCCAGCAACGAGGCGAAAGAGGGAGCCACATTAAATAAGTTTTTCTCTGAAGTCCCCAGATTGGGAATAGATCCCATGTTTCCCCACTGCTTCTGCACTATGTTGCGGAAGAAGAAGGGGGACAGGGAACATGTTTTTGTAGCACCACCAGTTCATCATACAGTGGATTGGGGTCCTTGGATGTAGAAGGTGTTGGCTGGGCATCCTGCTCCGGGGTGATGTTGGCTGCAGTGCAAGCCTTGAGCAGCAATGATCAAAAAGACCAGCGGGGGAGCCGGATCCGGTGGTGAAACATCTTCGTCATCCGACAGGAGCAGACCTGAAGGGTCGAATTCCGCAGAATCTGATTCTGAAGAAACATCCTGGGTGAAGTCTGGGATCTCTGGTTGAAGGCAAGGCTGTGGAAGTGCTGCGGGAACTTGTTGAGGTCGTTGGCAGACTGATGAGGCCATGAATTGGGCGAAGGCCTGAGTCATCATAGCCTGAAACTATTCAGTCCATGCTGCCTGTGGTTCAGGGGGGCAGAGCGCTGCTGCAGTGGGCATAAAGGTAGCCTGCACCCCAGAAA